TTTTTTTGCGGTATGCGGGCCTGTCACTGTTGTGGCCTCTCCCGTTGCAGAGCACAGGCTCCGGACGCGCAGGCCCAGCGGCCACGGCCCACGGGCCCAGCCGCTCCGCGGCATGTGGGATCCTCCCGGACCGGGGCACGAACCTGTGTCCTCTGCATCGGCAGGCGGACTCTCAACTACTGCGCCACCAGGGAAGCCCTAAAATGAAATATGTTAACACTTTAACTGCAAGATATATATTCATAATCCTGGACAGTCTTAGGAAACATACTTATTACTAAGGATAAAACAAAAGGAGAAAAAAAAAAGGAGCAGGAATTCCCTGGCAGTCCAGTGGTTAGGACTCGGTGCTTTCACTGCCATGGGCCTGGATTTGATCCCTGGTGGGGGAACTAGGATCCCACAAGCTGTGTGGCGTGGCCAAAAAAAACAGGTAAGAAAATTTGCACAGCAAAATTCATATCTATTGCTTACAATATGTCATAAACAAATTATAATCAAAACCAGTTAAAAAATTGTTAAAAAACAAAACAAAACAACTTGTTAACAGGCAGGCAGAGCTTGGAAGGCAACTGGAAGGGTGAGCCTATAAGTAAAAATACACTGTCAAGGGCTGACTGACAACCAAGATGGTACATGGCATTCATCATTAAGAACATGACTAATATCAATTAAAATATAAACTTAATTTGTGAAAACTGTAGATATCTGTAAACGTGAAATGTAAATTTTTTTCTACATAACTCTATAGGCAATATTTGGAAAAATCCCTGAATTTCTGAAATTAAATAAAAGGTTTTATTGGTTTTGTTTTGCTTTGCTTTTATCTCAGTAAACAGGTTGGTAGTGCTGGTAACCATAAATCCAAAGTTTTCAATTTGGTGTCTTCACCACTTGCTGCTGCTGCTTGTTCTGGCTCAGTTCTTGAATTTTTTTAAGCAAGGTTACTAATGCATAACTAACTACTCAGCCATAAAAAAGCACAAAATAATGCCATACGCAGCAACATGGATACACCTAGAGATTGTCATACTAAGCGAAGTAAGTCAGAGAGAGAAAGGCAAATATATGATTATCACTTATATGTGGGATCTAAAAAAAGGGTACAAATGAACTTATCTACAAAACAGAAATATTTACAGATATAGAAAACAAACTATGGTTATCGGGGGTAAGCGGGGGGAGGGATAAATTGGGAGATTGGGATTGACATATACACACCACTATATATAAAATAGATACCTAATAAGGACCTACTGTATAGCACAGGGAACTCCACTCGGTACTCTGTAATGGCCTATATGGGAAAAGAATCTAAAAAAGAGTGGATATATGTATATGTATATAACTGATTCACTTTGCTGTACACCTGAAACTAACACAACACTGTAAGTCAACTATACTCCAATAAATTTTTTTTTAATGAAATAATTAAATAAATAAATTATAGCACTATTGAAGTAGGAAATAGATGGGCCCCTGGGCTGGACAGCTGGTGTTTTATCAAATGGAGCAAAACTGAAGCTTTGTCCTCAGCCAGACAAGAATGATGCCCTTCTCCCTTCCTCCATTGATATGGAGGGAATGAACTAGCAGTGGGGAACTTGTTGCAGCAAAAATAGAAATGAGGGAATTCCCTGGTGGTTAAAGATCTGCCTGCCAATGCGGGAGACACGGATTTAAGCCCTGGTCTGGGAAGATCCCACATGCCGCAGAGCAACTAAGCCCGTGCACCACAACTACTGAGTCTGCACTCTAGAGCCTGCGAGCCACAACTACTGAGCCCGTGTGCCATAACTACTGAAGCCCACGTGCCTAGAGCCTGTGCTCTGCAAAAAGAGAAGCCACTGCAATGACAAGCCCGCACACTGCAACGAAGAGTAGCCCCCACTCGCCGCAATTAGAGAAAGCCTGCATGCAGCAACAGAGACCCAACGCAGCCAAGATAAATAAATAAATTTACAAAAACAAAATAGAAATGAGACTTTTCTTTTCTGATAAACAAGGAAAATAAGGAAACAATGAACAGGCTGGGGAAACAACATAAACAGGCCTGAAAGAGTTAAGCAATCTTGGTTATTCTTTAGCTGTTACTACTAACAAACACTTGTAGCTAGACCTGTCCTTCACAAAGCTGATTACTCTTGATTCCATATGAATTACCCTTTGCACCTAGCATTTCTTCTCCCCCACACTCCCTTGTAGCACTCTTCATTTCAAAAAGAACATCATGGGCTGATAACTTCAGAGCCATCAGACCCGGTTGCTGAGCTGCCTGATGCCAGCTTTGGCCATGAATTTGCAGAAGAAAAGAAATGCAAGACCTTAATTACTTTGAGCCTTATCACCTACCCCAGACTTCAAGCCCCAGGCTATATAACCTTTCCTTATTCCCCAGGGAAGGGGGGGGGGGCACAGTTCTGGAGGCACTAGCCTGCTGTGTTTTTCCCTTTGTCAGGCAAAGATTAAGGCCATTTTTCTTGTTTCTCCAAAACTCTGTCTCCCTATTTCTTTCTGGCATTGGTGCACAGACAGCCAAGATTTTTGGCATCACTATTTATAATAGCCAAGCAACCTAGGTGTCCATTAACAGATGAATGGATAAAGAAGATGTGGTATACACAGACACACACACACACACACACACACACACACACACACTACAATAGAATATTACTCAGTCATAAAAAAAGAATGAAATATTGCCATTTGCAGCAACATGGATGGACCTAGAGATTATCATTCTAAGTGAAACAAGTCATAGAAAATATTATATGATATCACTTATATGTGAAATCTAAAAAATAATACAAATAAATTTATTCACGAAACAGAAACAGACTCACAGACATAGAAAACAAACGTGGTTATCAAAGGGAAAAGGGGGATAGAGGGATAAACTAGGAATATGGGATTAAAAGATACAACACTATGTACAAAATAGATAAACAGCAAGGATTTACTGTATAGCACAGGGAACTATATTCAATATCTTAGAATCTATAATGAAAAAGAATCTGAAAAGTATATATACACATATAAATATATATGAATCACTTCACTGTACACTAACGTAATATTGTTAATTAACTATAGTTCAATATGAAATTTTAAAAACTGAAAAAAGTCACCTATTAGATCTAAATTGTTGGATTTTAATTAATTAATTGATTAATTAACTAATCAAAACATGGGTAGGGAAAGACTGAAATCCTGCTAATGATATTGTGTTAAAAAAAACAAAAAGCAAGGAAAAGATCCAATTTCCTTCAAATCTCATACCTTGAAAACAAGCTGTAATTAGAGTCTTCCATTGTATCACCTATAGGAACTCTGCATTTTACCTAATACACCTTAGTTTCTCAATTCCAACAAAAAACAAATGAATTATTCAAGTATCAAGTTGAGACACCAGTGGTTAAGGGTAAAGATGATCTTCTCTAGCAGCTTTTTCAGGCGACAAAAATCTTGCATGAAAATGATGAAGGTCATCATCTAACTCTGCCTCTTTATCAATTTCTTCTCGATTTATTGCACAGCTATAAAACAAAAATTAAACTTTAGGCACTAACCAGAACTAGACTTGTCAATATTTCTCCCTAAAGGAAATACATTTCTTACCCCCTCTTTTATTAGCTAGACTTAAAAGTCACATTATCACAAATATTAAAATTTCCTTTATATTTTTCCTCATGGGAAAAACAGATTTGCATTTAGGCTTATGGTAATACAAATCTGTTCAATTAGCATGAAAAAAATGCCATTGTAAACAAATCTTGGTTAAAAAAAAAAAAGTAGAGCCATATCTCAAAGGATTTTTTACCACTGCTTCTAAATTGCAGTTTCCTTTAGTGAGCATCAAATATTCTAGAGGACCACTGTCTTTTAAAATATAACTTTAATTATATATATCTAAGTATACTATAAAATGTACATGCTTCATGAAAATTAATATGAGAAACAAAGTTCCAAATTACTTATACATACCACTAAGTCAACTAAACCAAAGACTTCTTAATATCTAAGAATATGAAGAAGAATGGGATAAATCAAACACAGGATGAATACTTTCTAACAGAGCTGGAAAAAATACTATTAGCAACTCTTTAAGAAACAACCTTTACTCATAAATGCCCAATACTCATAAGAACTGGGATTCCTTATGCCCATAAATAATCTTAGGCCAACAATTCTTTTTTTAATAATATAAATTAATAATTTGCTGGAAACTGTGAGGTATGTCTACATTAATATCCGTCCGTTATCTACTCATGCCAAAAGAGCATTTTAAAAAATTTCTCTAAGTTCTCCTCCAATTACTATTTTTTTACTTGAATATATTTGACATATACCACTGTGTAAATTTAAGGTGCAAGATGTGTTACTTTGATATATTTAATATATTATAATATGACTGCTGTTGTATTGATATTTGTCACATTTCATAAAAGTACAATATTATTGTCTCCAATTACTTTCTGATTTGACCCTAGTCCACCATCTAAAAAAATTTATCCTAGATGAATCCCTGTCTTATCACAATAACGCTTACAGATAGAGTCATCAACAAAAGGATATCCCAGAGCATTTAAAAATATTTGCTACAATTTAAACAACAGAGATAGGAATTCTTTTCTATCTCTAAAGAAACATAGCATTAGTCTCCTGAGTGATTTCTGTGGGTTTTTTTAAGCTACATATAAGCATAACTTTTCTAGATTCCTCTATTTAATTTTGGGATCCATGATTTAAGGAAAAAAATCTGAAGTGTTTGGAGGAGTATGCAATGATTATTTTTAAATTTGTAAAATGAGAACTAAGAGTTTTAAAAATTATTAATGTTAAAAGAAACAGTGTAAATTTTTGAGGTATTACAGTGGATTTGTTCACTCAACAGCTTTAAACATGCATTCCTGTACTACAGGGGTAGGAAATTAAATATTATTTCCCAACCTCCCTTGCAGCTAGGGTTCCAGATATGATTGGTCCAAACAATCAGATGTACTCACTTGAAACTTTTACTCAGAACTGAATTACATGGGGAGAGAAGCAGGACATGAAATACCCATTTTTGCTGACACAAAGCAAGGCAGAGGTGGTGTGGTTCTGGAGCTGGCAACTTCATGACTTCCTAATATGGCAGGTGGCTTCCTGATTTAGCAGGCAGCTTCTTGATGGTTCCAAAAGCAGCAGCTTCTTTGGCAGCCCAGTCTCATGATGCAGTTCCTAGAAGCTCAGCCTAAGTTCCGTTCTTTCAGCCCTCCCAAAGATTCTGTGAGCTATCTATCTATACTGCTCCCCCCCCATCAATCCCATTCTGTTTAGTAGCTGAAGATGATTCTATTACTTACAATGAAGAATCTTAACCTATACAGAATTTGGTAGCTAGAAGTAAGGTGCAGCAAGTAAAAGGATCTGAAAAAATGGAATTGGCTTAGTTAAGAAGGCAGGGTTTGGGGCAGTGATACTTCATGCCAACTGAGGTTAAGGTATCAGAGAAAATGGTGGTAGAATTTCAGAATGATAGCATGTGTGGGCTGCGCCTTGCCTCTTTCAGAAAAGTGCTACAGGAGAGATGTGGCTCGGGCTAAGGTAAGCAAGTCTGCAGAGATGGAAGGCAATATAGCTTTGCCGAGAGAACTGCTCTCTATCTACCAAATAAATTGATAAAGTCCCAAATCTGGAGCCCTGAAGAATTGAAAAAGTCACTTACTGTACTACCGTACTCTAAACTGAAACAGTTGTAAGTAAAGGTTCTGAGGAAGCGCTAAAGCTTTCACAACCTTTCCAAGAACCTTCCCTTAAGAATTTTCTGCCAAATAATGGGAGCCATCCTAAGGAAAAAGATCAGATTAAGACTGCTGTTATCCCATCCAAGCCTATAGTTTAAAACAATCCCAAGTGGGTACCATTCATTTAAGACCCAACAGGAGAAAAGAACACAGAGGCCAGCAAGCAAAAGATGAGGTTCTTTGTTAAATATGTCTTGACAAGATCTCTGTGGTTTCTCCTGGTAATAATTGAAGAAAACAGACCAGAAACGTACAACTTTTGAGGGAACTGTTTTGCCAAAAAGCAAAACGAAACAAAAACAAACAAAAACCCTAAACCTGGCCTGAAACAGCCTGTAACTATCTGAAACAATCCCAAGGCCCCAAACCCACAATAACAGGAAGTGAAGTGCGAAGACTGTCCAGCCTTCCAGAAGAGGACACTTCCCAATGCCCACTTGCGTCCTTGAAGGTTAATGGGCAATAAAAACATCCTAGAGGGCAATGCCAAGGGCCCCTGAGGACATTAGACAAGGGAGTTCCTCCCAGAAAGGTGAAGCAGGGGTTGCCTAATAGAAAAACCGAAGAATATATTTATGGACAGAGCAGAGAGACCTTGCTATTTTTGCCAAGCAGTATTTTTTTAATTGTTATGGAAAGATGACTGCTCTGTTTCCTGTTTTCCCCTTTTCTAAAAGGTTGATTTTATTGCAGTTATCCTGTATCTATCCCATTATGCATATGGTGCTCAGGGGGCAGACATGTTGCTTTTTAGTTTGTAGATGACCAGAACATAAAAAAACCACATCCTAACCTGATGGAGGGGACTATACTCAGATGTCATGGGCTTTGAACTACATGCAATAATAGATTGGGCTTTGGTGGTTTCCTTTTGAGGTGAGGGAAGTGAGCGGTTTCTGTTTTGGAAGAATGTACATAGATATTTAGGTAACCAAAAGGCTGTTTAAATTAAAGCTGTAAGTTGCCTACCAAACATTCCCTCTTCCCTTCTTAAAGGGAAACCTTCCTAAAAGAATCCTAACTTTTAGCCTGTCCCATTGCCAAATGGATTTCTCAGCTTCCCTAGCAGCTAGATGGCCATGTGACACAGCTCTGGCCAATGAGATGTAAATTCAAATGCTATGTGGTTCTCTGGGAAAACTGCATCAAGGAAGCTGATTCAACTGGGGGACATTCCTTTTGTTGCCCTTCCCCACTGCGTCCAAGAGCCATCTTGGACCCTGAGAATGAAATAACTCGAGAATAAAAACTATGCACTGGGGAGAGCAGAGGAGAAAGATAGGAACCTGTACATCACCTACTTCCAGATTTCTTCTATGTAAAAGGCAGAAGTTCTTATTCAGTTTAAACCACCATTATCTTTGGGTTTTCTGTTATATGTAGCAAAACCTGATCTTGAATGATAGAGTATAAAGCAAAATTGTAAATGAAAAATGAACTTAAGTGGTAGCAAGAGCTGTTTGGTTGAAGAATTTCTAGCAGTTAAGATTGCTGAAAGTAGGAAAAAGTTACCAACACACACTGGGGAATACTATGGTCTTCTCAGGAGAAGAATTATTAATATCAAAGAGCTTTTATTGAGAGAGGGGATGATAAGCACCCATAAAAGAGTATTTACCTTTATGAATAAGAGAAAACAATTTATTTTAAAAGCAGTGGGTGGCGCTTTCTCACTTAAATAGGTACTAATAGTTTCATTAAATTATGGCATAAAGCCACTTAATTAAATCACTAAAGGAGAACAAAGGAAAAAGAAAAGAGGTATGAAAATGAGAGCAGGTATTGAGTTTGTTTCCTTCCTGGTTCTGGTAGACTTCAATCCTTAAACATCTGTGTCCAAAAAAAAAAAAATACGTTCTCATTTAAAAAGTATCTTCCTTTATTCCATATATGCTTTAAAATATTTACTGAGCAGAGGAAAAGGAAGGGAGGTAAAAAGATGACACACATGATGATGTAACAATTTTATTCTAAGTTCTGGCGGACTTTGGACTTTAAATGCCTGTTCAAAAAAAAAAAAAAGCCCTCATTTTAAAGGTATCTTCCTTTATTCTGAATATTCTTTTATACTTAGATATACTGAGTATTTGCTTTTTAACTATGTTTAGTTAATCACTGATTACAATTAAAAAACATATTCTGTGATAGTATCAATAACTGATTAGGAAGAATTATGAATAATACTGAAAAAAATCATTTCACCATGCATATGGCTATCAAATTATATAGCTTTTGAAATGTACTGATGTATACAAATTTGAGAGGCTTTTTCATTTTTCTGTAACACAAATTGCTCTATTTCCACAAATAAACAGAAAATAGCACAGATATTAATGATTTGAAATTATATTTGTAATAAATGTGAATTTCTATTTATTCAATTTTTTAATTTCCTCAAACAAACAAACAAATAAACAAAATTACATACGTGGCTGGATCTTTGATTCTCCACCAGGCACTGATGGGGAAATTTCTTGTTGTAATTTTTTTTGTTCCATCTGCTGTAAAACCTAGTGAATGGAAAAAGAATGCCTTAAAAGTAAGTGTTATTTGATTTTCTCTGATATGTATGACCATTGACAATGCACAACAAACTGAAAATTGTTTTCCAAAATGGGATATTTACGTTCTATAATTTAGATTAATATTCAACAAGGAAGTTTAAAAAAATGCAGTTTAAAAAATACTAAAATTTAAAATACGACAGCTAATTAAAATATATTACAAAAACACAGGCTTGTAGCAAAGCCCCTAAAATCCTTTTTAATGCCACAAGCCTTTTTACAAAATATCACCTGATGGTATTCCAGCTTCTGAGCCTCAAGTTGGTCATGCTGACGTTGTAGCTCTTCTTTTTGTTTCTGAAGCTCATCTGCCTTTTTCTTAAGTTCAGTTTCTTGTATGGAGATAAGATTTTCATATTCCTTCAGTTCTTCCTCTGTGAAGAACTGTTGTTGATCCAATGTCTAAAAGACAAAGAAATGAGAAAAGAAAAACCTTAGAAAGAAAACAAAAAGGTCTGATTCAGCTTTAAAATTCTATGCTTAGCAAAGTACAAAAGAATATCTATAGTATTATATCTTTTGGGTAAGAAAGAAAGGGAAATAAGAATATACACACTTGCACTTATTTGGGCAAAAGATATAACAGGAAGGAAAATCCAGAAACTAATAAGACTGGTTACCTACAGAGTAAGGGGAGAACTGGGTGGAAAGGACAAAGACAATGTGGGAAAAAAAAAAATCACACTCCTTTGAATATGCCTTTTTTTGCACAGATTTGATTGTTGGAAACATATCAATGTTTCACATACTCAAAGAAAAAAAGAAAATAAATAAAAATCCACAAGGACAGAAAACCTCTCCAAATTGAATACAAATAGAAACAAATAATACTTTTATTTTAAGTGAATAAAACAATCCACAGAAGGGGGCAGGAGAAAAGAACTAACCCAAGAAACTTTTTTTTTTTTTGCGGTACGCGGGCCTCTCACCGCTGCGGCCTCTCCTGTTGCGGAGCACAGACTCCGTCCGGACGCGCAGGCTCAGCGGCCATGGCTCACGGGCCCAGCCGCTCCTCCTCCCACACCGGGGCACGAACCCGTGTCCCCTGCATCGGCAGGCGGACTCTCAACCACTACGCCACCAGGGAAGCCCCCCCAGAAACTTTTGATCACAGCATTTGGACTATATGCCCTTAGGCTAAAACAACAAAAAAAACTGTAAAAAACATTAAAGTCTGGCTTTGCAGAGGCATCGATTAGCAATTCTGAAACTCTTCGTACATCTTAGGATTGAACAAATAAATACAATATTATTGTGGAAAATGAGAGCCAGGCTTTGTATGAAATATGGAAAAAGAAAAAGAATGTATTGCAAGTAGAAGCGTTAGATTGAAATTTAAGGAGATATCAGTATGAACTCATGAGTTTTAATACCTCTTGATAGCTAAAATATAAAAATGAATATAAATGTGTAGATGTGTCTATATACATATGTGCATGCATGCATATATATATATACACATACTATAAATATATATTTTTTATATATATATATATATTTTTTTTTAATTCCTCAACTCTGTTACTTGATAAGACCTAGAAGCAATGGCACTCCAGTAGCAAGGAGCAAATCCAGTGTCCAGATCCTGGACTGTAATATTGATCTCCACTAAAAGGAACCAGTGCTCCTCAGAAAAATGTCTGAGTCCAGAGGTAGGGCAGAGAAAGAACAAGATGAGCCTTGGACACCTTATTACGCTAAAAAGTAAGGAAGTCCTCAAAGAATGATAGGGACATGCCTGAAGGACACAAAAGCCAGTCTGAGGAAACTCCTACTAGCCAAATCAGGGACAATTTGAGCATTGAAAACAAATGACAGTAAGAATTCAAGTTTACTGAATAAAATAAGAAGCCAAGAGTCTACATTGATATAAACAACTAGAGAAGGGAGAAGGAACAGCTACAGTGGAAAGTCAAAGGGAATATTGGCTTTTTCCACCTACAGCGGAAAGCCAACTAAGGAATGATGATTAGAAAATCACCATTTGTCAACAGTCACAGTAACAATTTATTCTGGCTAGATTCATCAATGCATGCTAAACCCCGTAGATAATGAGTCTCAAAGTATATCCCCAAAGACAATACCTTTTTAAAAAGTAGAGCAATCTCTTTTTTTATTGGTGGAAATGTAAATTGGTACAATTCTTCTGAAAAGCACTTTTACGAAGTATATCAACAACCTTAAAAATATTCCCTTGGTCCTGGTAATGCTACATTGAGAATTTATCTTAGAAAATAATCCTGAACACATAAAAACTTTATATAAAAATGTGTTTATAGCAGCACTATCTTTTTAAATAACAATAAAAGACTGGAAATAACCTATATGTCTAACCCTCAGAAAACAGTTAAGCACCTCCATAGTTATTAAAACAATTCTTACAAATAGTATTTGGAAATACTTTTGATATGATGTTGAGTGATCTTTTTTTTTAAGCTGACTTCTGATTCTAGCAGTATGGTGGGATAGACAAGATACTTTTCAAATTACAAAAGGTAAAATAGTAATTTTACAGTGGGAAAACCTGGTAGACACCACCTTAACCAAATAAGCAAAGTTAACATTGCCAGTTATGGAAATAATCAGCAGCATATGATTCTTGATATGATGCACTTAGCATCACTTCAGTGATATTCCTATCAAAAGTAGGAATCATAAGGAAACACCAGACAAATTCAAAATGAGGGACATTCTACAAAATAACTGGTCTGTAATTTTCAGAAATATCAATGCTATGAGATACAAAGACTCAGGAACTGTTTCAGATTAAAGTAGACTAGAAAGACATTACAACTAAATCCAATGCATGAACTTGGATTTTCTTTTGCTATGAAGACCAATACAGGAAAAATTGACAAAAATCTCAATAAAATCTAGAGATTAGAGAATAGTATTTTGTGCGTAGCATTGATAATCTTATTGTGATTATGTAAGATAAATCTTTGTTTGCAAAAAATACACACTCAAGTATTTAAGGTTAAAGCAGCATCGTGTGCAACTTACTCTCAAAAATAATTATAGATGTTATATATAAATACACACACACAGATTAAAAATAGAGAAAGAGAGAAAAGGAGGGAGAAAGCAAATGTAGTAAAATGGGAAATCTGGGTGAAAGGTATTCAGGAATTCCTTGTTCATACTTGCAACTTTTTTGTAAATCTGAAATTATGCCGAAGTGAAAAAGGTATATAATTGTCTATTGATCCAGTTCACCAGAAGCACTCAAGGGAATTCATGTTCAAATAATCTTAGCATTCTTTTTCTTCACCAATGTCCAGAAATAGTTCAAACGTTAGACAAAAACTTACAACAAAAAAGAAGCTGATTTCTTTAACCTCAAACTAAGATGACCAATCGTCCCAATTTGTCCAGGATTGTCCAGGTTGTAACGCTGAAAAGTTCCGCATCCTGGGAAACTCCACAGTCCGGGTAAACCAGGACAGTTGGCCATCCTATCTCAAACTAATTAAAAAGGTAATATTTTTATTTTATATAGGAAAGGACAATGTTCTTTTTTTTTTTTTTAACATCTTTATTGGAGTATAATTGCTTTACAATGGTGTGTTAGTTTCTGCTTTATAACAAAGTGAATCAGCTATACATATACATATATCCCCATATCTCCTCCCTCTTGTGTCTCCCTACCACCCTCCCTATCCCAGCCCTCTAGCACCGAGCTGATCTCCCTGTGCTATGCGGCTGCTTCCCACTAGCTATCTATTTTACATTTGGTGGTGTATATATGTCTACGTCACTCTCTCATTTCGTCCCAGCTTACCCTTCCCCCACCCCCGTGTCCTCAAGTCCATTCTCTACGTCTGTGTCTTTATTCCTGTCCTGCCCCTGGGTTCTTCAGAACCATATATATATTTTAGATTCCACATATGTGTGTTAGCATACGGTATATGTTTTTCTCTTTCTTAGTTCACTCTGTATGACAGACTCTAGGTCCATCCACCTCACTACAAATAACTCAATTTCGTTTCCTTTTATGGCTGAGTAATATTCCATTGTATATATGTGCCACATCTTATTTATCCATTCGTCAATAGACACTTAGGTTGCTTCCATGTCCTGGCTGTTGTAAATAGAGCTGCAAAGAATATTGGGGTACATGACTCTTTTTGAATTATGGTTTTCTCAGGGTATATGTCTAGTAGTGGGATTGCTGGGTCTTACGGTATTTCTATTTTTAGTTTTTGAAGGAACCTCCATACTGTTCTCCAAAGTGGCTGTATCAATTTACATTCCCACCAACAGTGCAAGAAGGTTCCCTTTTCTGCACACCCACTCTAGCATTTACTGTTTGTAAATTTTTTGATGATGGCCATTCTGACTGGTGTGAGGTGATACCTCATTATAGTTTTGATTTGCATTTCTCTAATCATTAGTGATGTTGAGCATCCTTTCATGTGTTTGTTGGCAATCTGTATATCTTCTTTGGAGAAATGTCTATTTATGTCTTCTGTCCATGTTTGGATTGGGTTGTTTGTTTTTTTGATATTGAGCTGCATGAGCTGCTTGTAAATTTTGGAGATTAATCCTTTGTCAGTTGCTTCATTTGCAAATATTTTCTCCCATTCTGAGGGTTGTCTTTTGGTCTTCTTTATGGTTTCCTTTGCTGTGAAAAAGCTTTTAATTTTCATTTAGGTCCCATTTATTTTTGTTTTTATTTCCATTTGTCTAGGAGGTGGGTCAAAAAGGATCTTGCTGTGATTTATGTCATAGAGTGTTCTGCCTATGTTTTCCTCTAAGAGTTTTATACTACCTGGCCTTACATTTAGGTCTTTAATCCATTTTGAGTTTATTTTTGTGTATGGTGTTAGGGAATATTCTAATGTCATTCTTTTTTTTTTTTTTTTTTTGTGGTACACGGGCCTCTCACTGTTGTGGCCTCTCCCCTTGCGGAGCACAGGCCCCAGATGCGCTGGCTCAGCGGCCATGGCTCACGGGCCCAGCCGCTCCACGGCATGCGGGATCCTCCCGGACCGGGGCATGTTGGCTGTGGGTTTGTAATATATGGCCATTATTATGTTGAGGTAAGTTCCCCCTCTGCTTACTTTCTGGAGGGTTTTTATCATAAATGGGTGTTGAATTTTGTCAAAAGCTTTTTCTGCAACTATTGAGATGATCATATGGTTTATCTCCTTCAAGTTGTTAATATATTTTATCACATTGATTGATTTGCGTATATTGAAGAATCCTTGTATTCCGGGGATAAACCCCACTTGATCATGGTGTATGATCCTTTTAATGTGCTGTTGCGTTCTGTTTGCTAGTATTTTGTTGAGGATTTTTGCATCTATGTTCATCAGTGATATTGGCCTGTAGTTTTCTTTCTTTGTGACATCTTTGTCTGGTTTTGATATCAGGCTGATGGTGGCCTCGTAGAATGAGTT